ACTGCGGTACCTCTTCTCGTCGCATGAAGATCGGATAACGGAAAACGTTTCCAAACTTCAGAATTAATGTTGGCATATCCGATCTTCATGCGATGAGAAGAGGTATTGCAAAGCTCCGCGGCGAATCCCAACATAGAGTGGATGACATGGAGTTGGGAGTACGGCTGACTTACTTGTCGCTCAGCTGGAAAGAAAACGCTGAAGTGGCGGGAACTGCGCTACCTCTGCGTTTTGAGCTGAACGTCGAACATCTCCGGGGAGCTTTGCGATACCTCTTCTAATCGCATGAAGATCGGATATCCCAACATGAATTCAGAAGTTAGGAAACGTTTTCCATTATGCGATAATCGGTAAATTAAACAAATTATTAAAATAAATATTTCCTACCCTTGTTAATTTCTTTCTTTAAATTGTATAGAGTTTAAATGTGTGTGGTATTGCAGTTTGATACTGTTTATAAATTGTGTTTACTGATACTTTTATAAATCGTGTTGTCTTTGTACCATATCTCAGATTTTGTTTCTATTACAAGCTTGCTTGAACTGAACTCAAGCGAAAGCAATTTCTCATTCAAGTGCATCTGCAGAATTTGTTAACTTATGTGAAAAAGAATAAAATGTAATTATTATTATTATTATTATTATTATTATTATTATTATTATTATTATTATTATTATTATTATTCATAAATGTTGGGATGGTTCCCAATTTGCTGCCACAGTGCAATGTCGACACAGTGAATTCACCCCATTGGTCAGTGCTACATAATAATTGTGAAGTTGCAAATATTTATGTTCTTTTACAGGACTTTTTAAAACCCATCCTATTTATTCCTTCAACATCGTAGAGAAATGTTCTATCGAGATTTAGTATTTAAAATATTTATTTGAAAATTGAATGCTTGTAAAGGAAACAACCCTCAAGAAAATTTAGTAAAGCCTTTTGTTTTGGATGCGAGAATACAAAAAAAATCTAGCATTCACTGTTTAGATGTTTTAATTGGTGAGAGTGAATATAAAGAATGTGCCTATTATTCATCTACGAAATAGGTGACAATAGACATACTAGATCAAGGCATGCATTGAAATGCATACCATTAGTGAAATATAAAACATTAAAACACATTTGAGTTATGAGAGAATAGTGCCGAGTTTTGGTAGTCGGGATGTTATAATTATAAATAAACTATCCTCTTCACTACAAAACTGCATGAGCCATTCGCTGTGAAACGGCCAGAAAGTATTTGAACGTCCCCTGATAAATCATTTTTCTTTCTATTTTCATTCGTGGCAGTTTTCTTTTACTGAATGTGAGATCAAGTTAAGATATCCCCACATATGTAAATAAATTTCAACATTTCTTGAACTCGCGTACGTGCATACACCTACGCGTAAATCAGACATCAGTATTGTGATGTCTTCGCGGGAGCCGCAAGCAAACTCTACGAAGGGGCGTAACTAAACAGCTGCCGCGGCGGAGGGATACTCCTGTGAATTACACGTGATGTTCACTTGTTTCACTGTCACTTTAGCCCATTCTTATGCAAATCGCACTATAATTGTCGCCGACTCGCGAAGCGATGAGGGGATATATCTGAGAATTTTCAAAGCACAAGCGGTATTTAATAGGACTATTCCACGAATTTAATTATTTTCAAAAGAGTTCCAACATGCACCAAATATTGATAATAATTGAAGGCTATGTTAAAATCAAAGAGGCGATATCATAGAAAATCATCATCATCAAATCATAGATATCATCAAAAATCATAGAAAACGCGATAAACATTTTTAGATATACCGCTCTGAATGGGGCATTTTATAAGTATAGTTAAACACGATTAGTTTTAATTCACGAGTGGAATAGTAGAAATTAGTGAAAGCTCCCGTATTTGTAGCCGGCCGCTAGTCTATTCCCCCAGAAGGTGGCTTCATTTAGGCAAGGATCCACGGGGGGGGGGATGAGGAAAACCCCCCCCCCCCATAAAATGTTTCAGTATGCCTAACTATTAATTTTATCTGGTCACGAAACTTTCAAGCAGAAATATTGTTGGAATATCATTAAAACGAATAAAATTGTATCGCAGCATGAGACTTTTTCGTTTTTCGTCTGTTTTTCGTCTTCGTCTTCGTCTTTCGTCCTCGTCTTTCGTCTTCGTTGTTCCCCTTCATCTTTCGTTTTCGTCTTTCATCTTCGTCTTTCGTTTTCGTTTTCCTCTCCGTAATTTGTCACGTAACGGAAGTATTTTCATCAAAAGCTCATTCTGACCATATATGAAAATACCACTATTAAGAAAATAGGGTGAATTTGCTTTATGTTGTACATCTATTTGACAAACACGTCATTGTCGGGACCTGAACCCTAAAGCTTAGCAACACCATCGCATCCCGGGGAGGTTCCGCGACATTTTTCCGCGTTTGGAACTGATACAAAAGTTGCATATCGCAGGTATCCTATACATTATACAAATGTCGCACAACATGTAGTTTGGACGTATACGCAATTCCATTCTGCAAATATCGGTCACGTGGTGTTATGATTTGTGTTCTGTTGTTTTGCAAAGGAAACTGCGCTCTAAAAATTATTGAGGATTTGCACATCCTCCCGTGTCTTTGGGATGTTAAGTGTACCCACTAGAAAAACAAAGGAGGGAAATAAAGGAGTCTCTGGCTAAAAAATACACTGTCCTATTCACAAGATGGGAAAAACAATCCGCAACATGTAATCACAAATTAGGTGAGAACACAAAAAAAATCGTATTCTAAAGACAATCCCTTCGCCCAAAAAAACAAACTGGTTTGGTTTCCAGCCTTCAATGTTTTTACTGCAAGGGATCGAATCGAGATGAAGTGAACTGGCACAGGGGGGACTCTTGCGGATCGTATCCGACTTCAGCCAATGAACTGCAGGCACCAGTTCTTGTTACAATATTAGTATTAATATAATTTTAAATGCAGCCAGATACCAAAATCATCTCGTTACAAGACATTGAAACAGATTTATGAAGAGTTTCTTTTAAGTATTGCATCTTGTAAGTCTTCATCGTGTTATTTTTGGTTGGTATAGTTGATGACCACTTTCAAACATTTCTCCGTGAACACTTCCACAACACACACCGAATCCAGAATATTACAATGCAACAATTAGGCGAATGAAGAGGACGGTGAGAAAGGGATTTAAGAGCAGAAAACGCAGAAGCTAGCATATGAATATTTTTCGAAATCGTTCAAAAGAATTGGAGCGAGAAAAGAAATTTGCTCAGGAAGCATATTGAAAGAATATTCTGTATGGGATGGGACTGGACAGGATTTTACAAATATGTTCGTAGAAGGAAGGGAAATAAAGACGATATCCCAGTTTTTCGTGAAAATGGAAACGCTCATTACTGACGATCGGGCAAAAGATAATGCGTAATTATTTAAGTTCGGTTTCGGTTCGGCACCAATACGAACCATCCACAAATCAAGTATCTTCGGTTACAAATCAGTTTAATATTGAAGTAAACGATCTACGAAATAAAGTAAAATCTATGAAAATGGTAAATCAAGGTGTCCAGACATTTCTACGGATGTAATTACTCTAAGAGAAGATGTAATATTACCGTACCTAATTAAAATATTTCACGTACCAATGAACAATTCAAAAGTACCTGAAGATTCAAAATTAGCTTTTATCGTACCATTTTTTTAAATGGCGACAAAACTATATTAAATAATTACAGGCCGGTAAGTCTTATGTCAAAATAATTAAAGATGTTGTCATTGCCAACAATGTTTTTTAATTCAACAACTGATGATGATGGCTAAGCCATCGAAAGCTGCTTTTGAATTAAAAAACATTGTTGGCAATGACAACATCTTTAATTATTTTAAAAATGCCAAAGATATCCTACCACAACACCTAAGTCTTATGTCAGTGATCTGCACACTTATGGAGCGTCTAGTTGCGAGTTACATTAAGCAATAATGGGAAATCAAATAATGGCTAATTGATAGCCAATACGGGTTTAGGAGTTGTTACTCATGCGAAAGTCAGGTAGTCACGCGATATCAGGACCTAGCAGATGAAATTGACGCGCTTGAACCCCGTAAATAAGTATGTAACGCTTGAGACAACCCCGTCGTAGAATGCAAGAAATGAAAATAAATTATAGCCCAGCAAAAAATTCATTCATTTCAATACTAACGGATTTTGTAATTTGTCTTTTTTGTAGCTTTTTTGCCGTCTGCTTTATCGTTACGAAACTCACGGTTTTACAAACTTCATGTATCGAAGACTGAGGTCATATGATTAAAAAACAAAGCGAAAACATTATATTTTGAAACTGCACGACACTTTTTAGCTTTCATTTGCGAATTCACTACAGTATTTGGGAACTGAGAGACAAATTTCAGTGAATGAACTTCTACGTACACCGTTGTCTCATCTAAACAATGAACAAAAGAGACATTTTGGACAATGGTCGACCGGACGCAGTAGTTATATATCTTCCCCCACGATCAGCTTGAATAGCAATTAATGAATTCACGCATCGATTCCAGGGCGGCGGTGTGGATTAGCAAGTTTCCGCGAGACAGCAAACAGAAAGTCCTTTTAGGCAAGAGTTATCTTCTGCGGTCCGCTCCGTCAGGGGAATACTGCAGGGGAGTGCCATTGGACCTCTTCTAGCATTCGTCAATGATCTGCCAGCGCCCGTCATCTCAAATGTTCGGCTATTTGTAGACGATTGAATAATATATCGTAGTATGAATTCGAAAGATGAAGAAATTCTGCATTGGGGTCTTGATGCATTATGTTACTGGGCGGAAAATAAGGAATGACAATAAACAGACCTAAAAGCAAATCGATCCCTTTTAGCAGGGGTTAATAGGTGGCAGCTGGCAAGAGTATGTGGCAAGTTCTTATAGCTAGCCGAGCCTAAAGAAAATAGAAAACTAATGTGGGGAAAGTCAGGAAGTCGTAAGGAACATAAAATTAGGGATACGTAATGAAAACACAGATTTCCATATAAAAAAACTCTTTATTAAAGAGACTAACTCAATTTTTAAAAAGTGAATTTTCAGATTCCAGTTTAGGCTTCAACAATCCACATATCTAAAAAAATGAGCAAAATGCTGCTTCTCTTGATAGAAATGTGACAATATAGAGAATTTCCCCACACACCGTTGTAGCTACAATACATTCTTTACTGTAGATTTCCAAAGCAACAAACTTTGTGCATGAAGTGTTCAATGCATCCATAGACAAATTTATAGGAAATTACAACAAGAAATAACAACCAAAAACACAGGTCAAACAGTAATAAAATAACTACTTCAAAAAACAAGTTTTGAAATCATTCACCCAAGCATACAGCATTTTACATATTTTCTAAATAAATTTAAAATCGTGATAACAATATTCTATCTGACCAGAATATATTTTATGTACAAGTAATCGTTTTTTAATTATTATCATTACTATAATTATTATTTGGAGTTTCAATAATGAAACATAACTATATATCTTCACAAAGAAGACATTATTACTACAAATATATATAAAAAATTAAACAGTACTGCCCATGGCCAAATGAAATATAATACAGCAAATGAACAGCACTGTGGCAAAGTGGAAAACAAATTAAAAATTATTTTTGTATTTACTGCAGCTGAAAGTGTAAATTATTTGTTAGATATTTCACAATGTAGGACTAATAAGATATACCATTGTTCTGAAATTAATATCATTTTTCAGGTGTAACTAATTTCTATTTTCATGGAACAATGTTCAATAACAGAAAACAGAATCATAACAATCTCTACCAAAACATTTATTAAGCATTAATGATATTCTTATTCATTTTCATATCACATTTTTGATTAATTTGAATATTTCATTTATTAAGATTAAACACCTATCTTCACATATTTCAATCTTGAAACTTTGTTTAGTAAGTACAATTTCATTTATGATACACAAATGATCTCTTTCTAACTGTAAATCCTTTTTAATTGATGAACTATACTCTTTGTGAGAGAATTTTCAATTTCTGTTTCTCATTTTTATCCTTCCACAATGCCATAGAGCCAAATTAGGTTTTGTCCACACAATCAACAGTAACATGTGTCCATTATTGATTTATACCCACCCCACCCTCCCAAGAAAATGCAAGCACAAGGTAATGTAATATGAAATCATGATGTAGGCTACATAAATACAATAATATATTGTACTAAAGATACATATATGTAATATAGTCAGTCTATTATTCACATGATGTGTGTTTTTAAAATTAAGCACATAAATAATAGTCTTGGAAACTTAACCAAGTTTCTACCTCTTGTACAATTGTTTACCTATAAAAATAGGACACTCTGTTACATAAGATATACGCCATTACAGAAGCAACAAATTATACAATGTTGCAATTCCACATTTGTTTCTATTTTTCAGAAGTTGCCTCATATTGAGTAAACAGACTTTCACATACTGTTAACAATGCTTTTCTCTCAGATTCACTGTCACACATTACTTAAACACACCGTTCTTTGCTCAAGAGGCAGAGATTCTCAACTTCCTTTTTAGGAAGAAATATGAACATTTGACAAATTATGTACAGATGTTCATATCATTAAGTGCTGTTACTGTTGTATGTAGATAGAATTTTGTACAACAGTTACCCATGACAAAGCATTAATGGGCAATGCACAATAATTTCACTGTTGGTTCAGCCACATCTCCAGAATAAAGATAGATTTCTTTTTTAAAAAAGAAAAGAAAATTGATAAAGATGTACAACAGAAAGCAAATTCACTCTATTTTCTTAATAGTGGTATTTTCATATATGGTCAGAATGGGCTTTTGATGAAAATACTTTAAGTACATGGCATCACATTTTGAAGCAGATGTTTTCAAAGCTTCAAACAGGTTACTCATTGTTAGCTGAACATTAAGGCTCAGATCTTTTACTTACAGGAAGTATGATATTGAATATAAACAATATTTTAAGAATGAATATTTAATACTGATGTATGACAAATAAGTGAGAGAGACAGGTCTACTGCAAGGCTATTTCCACTGAAAGCTGTAACACCAACAATACTAAGAAGCTACATTTGTCACAAATGTCACCATGTCAACATTTAAATTTTAATACACTTACACAGCCCTACTTTACTATAAAACCTATACCATAGAACATGCAATCTGTATGTAATATCTGAAATCAAATCTGCGTTAGGGTACTTATCATTTTTTTAAAGAACATGTTCATTTGACATTGTAACTTCATATAAATACAGCAAAGTAGCAACACTCTCAGCACATCAAGAATTTGCAACCTTCTGTAAATCATTAAGAACTTGGAGAAGCAATGTATTTTCTCCATGAATGTGTTAAAAGCTCCAAAACTATAACTTCCGGTGGAAGTTTTTTCTCTCTTCCTTCTGTAATATTCTTACATATGAGGAACTCATTAGAAACAGCACAGTCTACAACATTAAATTTTGGGCTTAATGTCTACTTTTAGAGGGAATTGAATATCCATCATGAAACATACATAATATTTAAGTGAAATTATACTTATTGCCATACAAATATTTTCAATTTAACAAAACATCCATTTTAATTTCTTAACATCTAATGCATAAGAGCCCATATAATGTTTTTATTTCAGCAGATACTCTTCAAAGATATGCAAGTGAAAAGTACAAGAGTACTGTGCTAAATGGAATTCACATTTGAATGTTGTTTTCATGATCCTTGTAATTACTTTAACGGAAATTTCAATTCCAATTGGCCCTCATTGTTCCATTATATTTTTTTGAAGTACTGTGAATCTACATAACTAACTGCAAGTTTAATGACTAAGCACTTATCGTCTTCACATTTGCTCAGTTAAAAAAAAGAGAAATTATTGGTAAGAAAATACTATCATGCATACTGTTACCAACATTAATGAAAATTTACTCTTCAAGTGCAATGCATTGAACAAAAACCAAATATTTCAAAGGAAGTGATTGAAGACATCACTTTTCTTATTCAAAAATTATATTAACAGAAGCAAGTATGTGCAGTAAATCAGTCAATTCTTGTAAGTCTTTGTCTATAATGACCATAGAAGAAAGAGACCTGCCATATGACTGCAGATCCATATCAGAAATGTTATATCATGATAAACAAATCATGATTATTTTACTCAGACTCACAATGACCAACCAAATACAAAGGGGCAGATCAAGTTTCAATTCATGGTCTCCTTGCATTGGCAGAGAGCAATGAACACCAAATGATCTCCTTTCTTTAACAGACAAACTTCTCAAAATATGCACAAACTGTAGAAAATGTTTGTCCTGACCAAGATAACTCTACTCTACTGTTGCATTGTTCATGTTCTTTCTATGAATACCAAAACACTAAAAATAAGTTTATTTGTCTGTCCATTATCAATCTGTATGGAATATTCATGCAGTGCACTCATATACAAATGTTGATGTTTGAATAAATATTAACATATTAAAGAAATTAAATAATACTTTTAAAGCTGAATATCTTCACATGTCAGCAATTTTTTAACCAAATGTCTAACAATTTCATCAATGGTGAAATAATTTAACAGTTCTATTAAAATAATATTTTCACCATAAAAGTTTGAATATTATATTAGCCTTCCAAGGACTGTATTACAAGCACAGCAACAACAAATCATGAATACTTGTATAGGCCTTGCTAAGTGTGCACTGTCTTTTACTGCATACTGTTTCTTCTTGAACTTGTGGAAGTGCACCGGACACTGAATGCATAAATATTTGATAAATATGGCTCAACACAGTTCTTGATAAAGTAATAACACATTCACGCAACCACTTAGAGCCATCATGTTCCTTCACTTTTCTTATAAACTTAATTTCATATGAACTAAAGAGCACCCATTTGCACTTTGCTTAAATAGATAAACTTTTTCAATTGCAGCTGTTCTCACAGATGTTCATTGGCAGGACAGCTCAATCATTATGATGAGACTTTGGAGACTAGTGCGTCAAGCAAGCGGAGTTTGGCTTTCGCCTGTTTGTATGATGAGTATACTCCTTCCATAGGCAGCCGATCTTCACGCTGCAATTTCTTCCCAGTACGATGCTGAAAGTCCTCTTCAAAATCACGTAGAGAGCGCCTTAATCGTTTCTTCTCCTCTCTTGTTGATCGTTGCTGACTCAACAACTCTGACCTACAAAACCAAAACAATTTGTAAACTTTTGTTCAAGCTAAGGTAATTGTGGGGACAGGGATATTTCTTTTGAACCTTTCACTATTGTACCTCTCAGTATTGTTCAAATTATAAGATAATGTACCTTTTAATATAAATATTAAATAAATTCCTAGAACTATATACTCAAATTTTAAAAATGAATTACATTACATTACATTATATTTAGTTAAACATTGAACAACAAGAAAGAGCATTTCCAAAAATGAATAATGTTCACACTTACAATGACAAAGAGTGCAAATTCTTCCACAGAGCTTCCGATGACTCGGAAAGACACATGGAGGGAGGGGGACCTGCAGTTACCACTGCTGCTGCTGCGGCAGCTGTTGTAATGTTTGTGTCCTGAGAGTCCTCATCATCAGCAGCAGCCAATGAAGGAGGAGAGCTCGTGAAATCCATGGTTTCATGTTCATGAATAGTGGCCAGTTCTGAGATGCTATCCTTCATTTTTGACTGTTGAGAAAGAATTACACTGTCACTCATTTTATTACAAATTCTAGTGCATCTCTGAATTTCAATTCAGAAATTATGTAATATTATGCTTTCATCAAATTGAGACAATCATTTACAACAAATGTAGTGGAGATACATATTAACTAAATAAAATCAAATAATTAATATTTAAAATACAGACAGTTAAACTCTCTATTATCCGAACGAAATAAGGATCAGGTAGATTTGGAAATAAGGACAATTGTATGAAGCTAAGAAATTAAGTAAAACAGATGTTGCAAAGAAAACTTGAAATTCATGAAATAAATTATAATTTAGTAAACTGTAAGAGAAAAAAAACATCAGTCATAAAAATAGTATCTCTTATTTCCTAAAATTCTTTATATTCTTTTTTTCAGTATTTTATGATGATTTTTTTCCATTCCCAATGATAACTGGAAGTTTTATTGAATATTTTTAAATGCTATTTATTGTTAAATTCTCCAAAATACTTAGAAGATCCAGTTAAATGTAAGAAAGACCATCAATTTTGAAAACTATTGACAAGAGTCAATTTTCTTTACGAATCACACAAAGAATACTTGTGAAAACTACCGTCATCTTGACAGCAGAGAATACATAAAAAGTTCTCTATAAATACTAGCCCTGGCCAACTTACAGGTGCTGTCCGAATAACCATGCGTTTCAGCATTCGGTAACGATCATACAGCGGTCTGACAAGATCACGGTCTCCTTTGGTGACTGGCCTGCCATACATATCCTCCAAATGAAGAAGACCCTTCTGCACAGCCACTTTCTCCTCAAGCAGCTGCTCACGGCTCAGATCGTCCAATTCCTCCGGCCGACCAGCATGCTTCCTCTTTTCAGCCAAGACCTAGAACATTCACAGAGGTTATTTTGCAAAAGTTAAAAAAAAAAATGGTGGAAAGAATCAATTACAATATTCTCTGAGAAATTTGGGGAGAAAAAAATTATTAATACTTCAACATAATCACAGACTTAATTTTTAGTATAGTTTTCCCTAAATTACTAAAGTCAATTATCAAATGTGATCTACTTTTAGGGTGATATCTGAACTTCTCCATTACTTCTTATACATCAAAAACTTAAGTATGACACTATTAGCTTCCTTACTTGCTCAACTTCATGCAAAGCCTCTTCCATTGTCAGAGCTGCTTTCTTACTAGAGCTGGCCACCCCACTTTTATCATTTTCCTCTCCCTGGGTCTGGATGTCAGCATTATGAGGATCTTCTTTCAGTTCTGTAAAATCATCAATAGTAAGTTTTGCCAAATATTCTCAACAAATATTCAGAACTCTACAATATTGAAATTACTCACGTTTCATTTCCTTGCGAATTTTGCTTAGTTCTGTACACAATTTCTTCATTTCCTTATTTGTTGCCTTTTCTGCATGAGAAGGTCTGTACCCATACTCCTTTTCGAAATCCTCCTCCAAACGCTTCAACTTTTTCTTCATACTAAACACAAATATATACAAATTATAGTAACAAAACAAATTAGAAAAAAGGGGAATTTTACAAAACAATTTCCATGATTTGTAACAAATATTTGTAACATCCTAAATTAGTATGAGCTACAATGTTACAATAAGGAAAATACTTACTCAAAACAATTAATTAAGATTCATGACAGAGTGTATATTATGCTATCACTTTTCAAAAGAGTGCCTTTCTACATTGTCAAATTGTCCTTATTTTCATCACAAATACGGATTGTCTTTTCAAGTACCATAAACGAATATTTTTTTCTAAAATTACATTTGCTTATTTTCTTTACTGCAATCTTTTTGGCATTAAGTTAGTGTACCGTGGGCAAACATTGCATCATGGTTCTTTTCATTTTAAAAATTGATAGATTCTATTTGTTTGAGCTTTGTATCATACTCCTTATCTAGAAAGCCACAAGCGGGAATTTTAAACTTCACAGTTAGACTGGTAAAAATAAACAGGAAGAAACAAGCCACGCATGGCTTGAATAAAAGTGTGTCAATTTCAGCATAGTTTATGCATTAAAGAAACAGTCTTTGGTGTTCCCTATATGGTAATTATTATTAAAAATAGGAGTATGTTTACTGCTGAGTCATAGGTGAAAAAGAAAAACTTCAAAAAAAGTTCACAATGCTGAGGAAGCAGAGTATTTAGTTAGCAAATCCAGAACGTTCATATTTGCTACAAGTGTGTTTTTTTCCCCATGTTTTTTTTTTTTCCTTTTTTTTTCTTTCCCATTTTCCTTCTTCTTTTTCCTTTCTTTTTTTCTGTTTTTGTCCTGCATTTTAAACACATTTATCCTTCTTTACACCCATTCACATCTGGTAACCCTATTTCTAGGAACATAATACCATTAAAGTATACACTGAACAGACATTGTTATCAGTTTACTACTGTTTCGCTAGGTACTCACCTACTCATCTGCTTTCCCAGTTGTTTCAGTCTTGCTTGGGCAACCTGCACCGCAACGCCATCTCGTTCATGAGGTGGAGATGGAGGAACATTGGTATCCAAGTACACACGCCGACTCAGAATAAGAGAGTTGCGGGGAGACAACATCACTCGACTGCTAGCAATCATCTCCTCATGTTCGCCTCCTTCACGGCTCCAGGTTGCTCGAGACGTCAGGGGCTCTGCACCACCCACTTGCTGGTGAAGTGTGGTCAGGTCAAGAGGAGGAGGACCACCCACAATGCCAGGACTGGGTTCCGGCGAAGGTACCCGCTCCTGTTCCTGAGAAAAGGTTAGACAGGTAAAAACACAGAAGACACTTCTAGTGCATGTTAGTACCAACACATGCCTCTTTTCTGACTTTTGATAATTTATAACTCAAACTCAATATTTTAAGAATCCAATATTAGTTATCAATGAGTTACAATTTGACCATAAAACAATAAAAACAATTATTATTATGTTAATAATAATTATTACCTGTGGGTGAAGTTGCAGGAAGGAATGAGATGAACTTGAACGTGAGCTATTGCCTTCTTCATCAGATGACAGGGCAGCCTGCATTTGATGGGCTGTCCTTGATAAGTTGCAGTCTTGATCCTCATTTTCCTGCAGTCACAAGGATTTTATGATGACACACTGGTTATCATTCAATCAAATATATACCTCCAAAAACTACTATTAATTTTTACAATACTCAAAACAGACCATTACTATTCAACAATCACAATAATTGGATTCTCAACACTTACATTTTCAGTACTCATTTGTTACAATAGAAGCATAACTAAAAAATAATATTTTTCAGATTTTAAATTTTATGAAAGAGTTTGTGCAATGTTGACATAATTACATTCTATTAGTTTGCAAAGAATAGTTATGTCATTGTACAAGAGGAAAAGTCTCTGAAAATTCTAATAATTCATTTTCATTGAGTTTAGAACTGAAAGAATAAATGCAACTGTTGCAGCAAAAGAGCAATATTTTCTAAAATCACTCATAAACTTTAAGTGAAGACAAGAAGTCTTACCTTTGAAGAGCTGCCTCCATCAGTGTCCTCTGCAGGAGATGAACTACTTGGACCACTTGATTTGGAGTGGGTGGGTCGCCGCCGCCTTCCAATGTTACGGCGACCTCGAGACATTCCAGCTGCTCGGGCAAAGCGCTCACTGCTCCGCCGCCTCTCATGTTCGCTCTCCTCCGTCAACTCATCCTCCTCTCTCTCCACAGACCCGTGTTGGCTATGGTGCTCAGAGAGAGTCTGGCTCTCGTTGCGCTCGTGCAGGGGCATGCCCGACATACGCTGGAGGCACAGAAGACCAAGCATAGTAAGTTAATTATTAAGTAATGTGCATGTATGCATTTTCCATTGAAACAACCCAGAATACTTTTCGTCTATGTAATTATGAAATAAATCAGGAAATCATGATATCAAAGTTGCGGCTACAATGAGCCAACACATACATAATTTGAAGAAGAAGAAGAAGAAGAAGAAGTAGTAGTAGTAAGTAAAAACAAATTAGTTTATTAATCATCTGACTTAGCCTTAAAAATACTGTTTCAGAAATTAAATTCCTTTAATGCAACTGCTGTTGGAAATAACTCTGTATTAATTCACTGCAAATATGAAAAGGGCTTACCACTCCATGTCCCATATTGGTATCAATGACTTCTGATAAGAAACTCTTGTTGTGGTTATTACTATTATTGAGATTATTATTAGCTGATGCTGTAGTCGTGGTAGTTGTAGTGGTAGTAGCACTGCTACTGCTTGTGTTTCCACTAGTTGTACTGCTGCTGTCTCCGTCGCCAAGTGTCATGCAAACACCTTCACTGTCTTCAATTTTGTTGCTATGATGGTGGTGGTGATGGTGCTTGGATTTATGATGATGTTTGTTGTTTGTACGGACAGAAGAGAAATCTTCATGGCTACTGACACGTCGAATGCTCTCTTTTGAACGTGTCACACCATTCTCCAGAGGTCTCTCTTCTGAGTTTGATCTATGGTGAAATAAAAAAAAACTTCTTACAATTCAAAATAAAAAAAAGTTTTATTGTATTGTATGATGTTCTATATTCATAAAAATGTTAGGAATTTAACAATTCACTTATATCTCACTGATTTCAATAGAATGTAATAAGTGAATATAACTTATAAAGAGCAATCAATAAGAGAATATATTTGCAATTTACATTGAGAGCTAAAATATTTTCTATACACTCATCAGAAAAAAGTTTGTTTTAAAATGGAAGCACTAGGATAAGACATTTAAAACAAGAATGGTAAGTGAATATTTTAATATTTTTTAAAGAAAATCTGATTTGATTTATTTTGTTAATGAACAGAAAAAAACTGTGACGTAAGTGGAGGAAGCACAATTAGCATAAATTTTCTTGAGAAAAAATATTGAACAGACCGAATTTATTCTTCAACATTTCTTAGCGAGTCATTCCGAAATAGAACGTCTAGCTATTAAAGAGAATAGGCATGACCATAGACTAAGAAATTGAGGGGCTAAACGGCAACACGAACAAGAGTGGAGAGCTCGATGCCGAGGGATTAGAGATGGCGGGAGCGGGCGAAGGAGCGGGGAGCGTTAGAGGAACGCGAGGGCTCCCTCACCTGACGACCTTGCGCTCCTGGGCCGAGCCGCAGCTCTCATGGCGCTTCTTGCGCTTTCGGGTGGCGCTGGCGGCCGGGTGGAGGTGGCGGGGCGGAGGGCCGGGCGGGGGCTGCCCGCGCCTCCGCACCGCCCCCGGGCCGCGTTCAGCGCCGGGCTGGCGCCCGGCGCGACGGCGCGCTGGCCGCAGCGGGTGGCGAGCGTCGGCGAAGCTTCCGGGCACGCAGTCGTCCAGCAACCTGCAAGCACAAGCACACGCCCGTCACTCTCTCTCTCCCAGCCCTTCGGGGAAAAACTTGGCAAATTATTGCATGGAAACATGTCCTGCTCAGGTTTACACATTCAGGCTTCTTCATTCCACCGTCAACCAATTTCTACAAAAATGTGACTCGAGGAGCAAAGGGACCAATTTCAAATCTAAACCATACGTTGATTTCTCACGTAAAAGTTTAATGTATCGCCAGGAATGGTACTCCTAAGATGGTTTCAGATAGTAGTGGTGGCGGTAGGAAGGTACGTAGGTGTCACAAACCTATCGACATCTTACTATCGAAACGGCGTTTCGTTTGGAGCTATCGAAAAGACCACACATACCGCTATAATAATATAAGATTCATTTTGCTTGGCAGTTCCGATGTTTCTGAACACACATTGGTTTTACAAGTTTACAACAATCTGAACGTCACAGCTCATCAGACAATGGCTGCAACTTCCATTGGCAAAGGTAAAAACACGGCTTAAGGAGTGGCAAAGTACATTCCAAAGAGTCAAGGAAGGGTAGATGGATATCTTCACCTTACAAATCAGCAGCCAATTCTTTTCGTTTCACATAAGACAGGTTAAAAAAAAAATCCGATTGGCTCGTTAGACATTTTCTCGTTACCGGGGTATCATATTCACACAAACATTTAAATGACTTACACAAGTTTAAGCCAGATTGATTTTCAGTAATCAAATGACACACTGAAAACTTAGCATGTTTTGCAAATATTTCACTAAGATATCGCACAAAAGGAAATTGAAATATTTCAGAATATTCATTATATTTTCACAACTAAGCGACCAGTTGCATAGTCACCGACTTCGTAATTAACAAGAAGTGTATTACGCGACAATGAAGACGAAGACTCGCAACAGAGACTGTGAATTTTCGAAATCAGCCAAGTACCTGGGAAACGTTCCTGCATGGGTGGCGATATTCTAGACCGGCAGCTCGATCGATTCCTAAGGTTTCCTTCAATTCCAGACGGGTAACTGTGCAGAACCTCCACAAGGGGCCACGGAGGGCGTGCGACCACCGCCCCGATTGTAAGGATGCGTCGGGCCTAAGCCTTTCCACCCCACATGATCGAAGGACGGTGCACTTCTACCAGTGATCGAACGTCACGCAACAACTCAGGATGAGTTACAGAGACAGAGAAAGAACATGGAAGAAGAAAGAAGAAAAAAGATGAATAAGAATAACACGAAAAAGAGTTGTAGCTCTCCCGCTACAAGTATAAACTTCTTGGAAAATATAATGCACTATTTGCTCTCGGATAGACTGCAGATCTCCAGATAGTTGATTTGTTAAGGCCATAAGTCCTAAACGTGTAGTGCATGTTTTTACCGCGGTACGTGGCGGTGATGTTCCCCCTTTGGATGGCGAAACCGGCACCGACCTACACGTCGACTAGCGGGGGGGGGGGGGTCCTCAACCAGGTATCTCCCATCAGCTGAGCACTGCCCCAGTCGGGAAAAGCTCTAAGCTCCGCCGGTCTTCCGGCACGTGTGGTAGTGTAGTGTAGTGCTTGTTAGTGTAAGTGTGCGAGGATAGGACAAAGAAGGCGAAGGAAACATCGCGCGCGAATCCGTGCCCTGATCCGGCATTCGCCTGGTGTTGATCGGAGAAACCACAGAACTTCTGATCAGATCAGCCAGCCACTGGAATTCTCCTCTATTCGGCGACTGAATTCGTCCTAGCTCTCTAGCTACTGTCGTTGACCCAGACGGGCCCGACAGCTTTGCTTCTCTTTCCAAACGCGGGAGGCTGGACGCGCGCGAGGCCTACCTCTGCGCAGCAACCGCCGCGGCCTTAGGCGCGTATTAATACGCGCGCCCCGGACGCGCCGGGCGCGCGACGCGTCGACAGCCGGCGCCCGAAACGCGCGCGCTGCGCCGATCGCCGCTGCGCCGCCGCGCGCCAACCCACATTCAGCGGAACGAATCGTCCGATATTTAAGCGAGCCACCTTGAGGTACATGATGTACGACTAAAATATGGGAAGACTCCGCATTGAAAGACATCAATTATCCCTCACCAAATCTTTTCAAATGAAAATTAGTCATGAAGGTTGCATTCGCTAAAGAAAGAGTTTTGAAATATTTTATTTATTTACGTTAATTATTTATTTTATTTACTAATTGTATTTTTATTCCGGTAAGGAACTCTGTCAGTCTTCTAATTGTAGTCAGAATAATGTGAACTTGGAACTTCGCTTGTTGCTTTCCCCAGTTCACGATGTGACGTTGTAAGCAATGAGCGTGCCCCGAGCGTGCATGCCGCTATTCACTGCAGGTCGACCTGCAGTGACCTCCAAAACGTGCGTAGTTAGCATGTCAACAAGGCCCATTGACGCGCGGCGCTCGACCTCACGTCTGACCCTACGCGAAAGGCCGGGCTGGAGATTTGTTGTCGGAAACAGTGAGCCTTCCGACTGCAGTTCGCACGAGACGACTGCTTACAATGCGGCTGTTACATCATTGCTAAGCCCACAGGGAATGGGTCTATGGCGCCCAACTAGAGGCTTTGAAAGACGAAACCTCAGGCCCAAATTCTACGAACTTGTAAGAATATTCTTGCAAGCCATGGACTGTTAATGTTCAAGTCAATTTATACACACACGCTTGTCTCTCGCCTGCGCTTGCTTATTCATTACATGCTCGCCCACTCATTCATTTATTCATACGAGTATCTCACACTAACACACCTCCCGCAGGTACACACACACACACAGACACAAATGCCTCAAAACCAGATTCAAACCTATTCAACATTTCGCTCACTCTCTTCCTCCTCTTCGTACCGTTCGCCCGCCCGCCTAGTTGGCTCGTTCGCCTGCTCTTTCTATCCGTCCGCTCGCCGCCTGCCGGGCCTTTCGTTGGGCCAGCTATGCGACCTTGCATCGCCCGCAAAAACACGCGCTGCCGCCCCCTCCTCTCCGCTCTGCGCCCCCACCCGCGTTTTCTTCCGCGCCGCCCGCCCCTCCCCCGCCCTCCCGTCGCCGCTTGGGGCGCACCCCACCTGCCCGCTGCCATCAACGCGCGACGCTACTCGTCGCCGCAGTGGAAAAGCTCGGCATCGGGATGCAAAACGATTCTCCCGCGGCCTCTAAGCGTCGGCTGCCGCGCTAAGCCAACGGCATCTCGCGGGGTTACACGGAAGCTTCGCTCTCTCCGGGATAGAAATGTGATGGTGATTTCCACAAAACAACCTTAGTTCGGGAGGCATATGTACAACCGTTTGGCGGACTTTGTAATCATGCCCAAGTGCCTGACAAGTTACAATCACGAAACACATACCAATCTTAACTAAGTCATAATCATGACGGTTAAATGTCAAACAAACAAATCCAGTAGATCTCTGCAACGGCACGATTGGCGTGAAACCAAGTATGTGGCCCACCGATCTATCAAGGAGGGCACTCCACGAGTATTCCAATCCTCGCGGCTCTCCGGTGGCCGCCGCTTCGGCTGTTTCGCCGTCAGCCATCACGTCGAGGCCTTCCTCAGGGCTGAAAAGCGCGGGCACGGTCGCGTATTCCAATGACTAGCCGCGGACGCCCACAACTTCAAGAGCAAACTAGAATGCGTCGCTTACTATTACTGCGCTTCCAGTCCCCCCGACTCGATCTCCGAGATGGCGCCCTCCCTGACCCCCCGCGGGGGAGAGAGCTGCCAGCCGCCGCCGCGCCGCCTCGGGTTCTCCGGAGCCGCGCTGGAGCGCCGCCAAGCCCCGCTCGCGACATCGCTAGGTCAACCGCGGGAGCTCTCCGGAGGCTCTTTTGGCTGCGGCGGCCAGCACCAGAGGGGGTCCGGGGCTCCGCCCCCCTCCCAAACCCCACCTTTGGTTGCAACTGCTTTCAATTCATCCAAAACCATTGCAGCATTATCGTATTTCATCCAAACGAGCATTAACCCACGTCCATGTACTTCATTTCCAAAAAACAACTTCAAATATTCTTTCATTGCGTCAAAATATTTAAGGGACGGCGGGGATGTTTCAAGCTGAAACTACCCCTCCCCGAAATAATCACTTTCTGGATCAGCCCCCGGTAGTGTCCAACAAGATTTTCAACGCAAATAATGACCAGAGTTAGCGTCTAATCGTACACATGCTCGTTTTACCCGGTTGGTGCTCTGCTCATATTTCTAAATCATGCTTATACCATAATTGTTGCCAGATAAACATGAACAATAAGGGAAGTTGCAATAAATAACCAACTTCTTCGAAACCGCAAAGGTATTGGGCTCTAGTGATATGAGAGGAGATTCGACAGCAGCCAAAGGTACAGACTAGTTTATGACACTTGTGAGTTAATTCCATCTGGTCAAGAACTTTTATATCTTCTGTTTCTTAAAAGTTATGAAAGGTGAAGTTCATGCGACTATCTAAACATAATCATTGATGGATCGATCCCCTCTCTTGCAAATGAAATTTCAACGAATTTTTTGTAAAGTGCATTATTATTTTCCCCAAATTTCGTCTCCGTGCTCTTCACACCACCGGGTCCAGAAATAGCCCCAGTGAGATATGCAGCGTTGGCGGACGGCCATACAATCCCGACGGCGCGGCGCCGTGGCGAAGGGTGGCGTGGCGTGGCGGAGCGGTGTGGGCCTCTCTTCGCACCTGCTCCTGGGCGCTACGCGGGGACGTGGGGGCGCAGAAGTCGGCACTTGCTGCGCACACGTTTACTTGAGAGAGGGTGGGAAGAAGGAAAAAACAACCTCTTCTTCTCACGTAAGGGCGTAGCATATTCCAAAGGAATCACTGAATTTGATGAAATCCAGCGAAACGAAACTAATAAAGATGAGACAAGCTGAACTAGTCCTTAAGTCCTCGCCAAATACATTTGTTCAATAATACACGGCTTTCACCGGGGGCGGAAGCGGAGGTTCGACAGAAACTGTCGGATCTTTCGCGCTACACACTTATTCATTCAGGTCTTTCCCAGACCTAATGCTCTCGCGCGTAAGGGTG